ACAGGATGTTCCGTGTACATAGGACTTTCGTGAAATAGAAATTTTATTTGATTGGATCAACGAAGCGAAATTACATAATTTTTGTTCTAATCACCCCCAAGTTTGGGAAAGAACTGTCTCATCATGTTGTTTTTTCTTGCAATAGTATGCAACTCAAAGATCATTTTTAGAGCATCGTATGTGGTATTATAATAACGCTCTTACATTTGCTATTCGAGTTCCAAAAAGATGCTTCGGAAAAATTCTCAGTGTCGAGAAAAAATGGATTGTTTTATAATCGCTGGAGTCTACTTGCCCTGAATGTTCTGGTTTTCCTTCAATGTCTATGCAGAAGTGTTCAATATAAAGTTTTTATTTTTTAACACGAAAATTAATATTTTTTCCAAAACATTCCTCCACGCCATATTTAAAGTACAAAAATATATATATTTTTATCAAATTGCAACATATTAATTAGAACAACTGGCATGCATCAATTCGATTTAGATTGATTTCTGAGACGGAGTAAATTGTGTTGATAACAAGAATTATAATGCTGATTAGTTTTCCCAAATTGGCCAACCTGGTAATTTTCAAACCCTCACAACTTTGCGAAAAACTATCACTCGTAAAATATCGTTTTACATTTTCGCTCAGTACGTAAACATTTTTCAGATCATATAAAAAACCCTGCTATAATGGCTGGTGAAAAAATTTTTCTGGAGAAAAAAACCACCCCAAGCAAAAACATTCCGGTCACTTTCTTCGAAAGTCGGAACAATAAGAAATGTTGTTTCTGGTGGTCCATTTTTACAGCAATTTGAGTCTTCTCATTGTATAATTATCTTTTTCTGCTCAAACTAGTTAGCGACTGAAGTATTATTTGATCAGTGGTTTTGCAAAGTTACTCAGCATCTGATCTAGCTATATACGTTCTATTCAGCGCACTTTTTGCTACCTACTATCCAAAAAAAATATGCTTTAAATTATCTTGAGAAAAATAGCCATGGATTAGTAGTTGAGGAACGTAACTCTGTATCCGGATGTTCGTGTCCGAGTCCCGTATTGTCATGTTTTTTTCTTTTGTTGATTTTAGTGTTATAGTTTTATTTTTATTTTAGAGCTTCTTTTTGCCTATTTCTCGCTTTTATGTTTTTGATCACTTTGTTCAGAGACTTTTGCGTTACTTGCACAGCAGCATGCTGCTCTTGTTTGATTGTTTGATCATTGCTGGCAGTTGTTATATTAAGTGAAGATTTCGTTTGGAAACATTTGAGAAACACTCCTAAAAAGCATCTTATCCATTAGAAATTGTATGTATTTGTGCTATTAACGCGAGTAGAACTATTGCATTGATAAATAAACATTGGCGAAAATATTGAAATAGGGTTCTTTGAACCGGGTATAGTCATCAATCATGTTGGTTGTTATTAGAATTGTTTTGGTCGTGTGTTTTCTTTTTTTTTGTGTATGTCTTTTGCACGTTGGAAGTTCTAAAAAAACTTTCAAACTTTCTCTTTGTAGATCGAGTCCAGTGAATGTTTAGTTGTTAAATGCATCTCGTATTTTAACACATATGCTCTGAACGTAGTAGATTCTTACTGTGGAAAGGGCAAAAATAAAACTGGTTCAACTTCAATATCAAAACTAGTTCAATTCCAACCGAAACTCAATTACAATTTCTATTACAATTTCTATTACAAATTCTACTACAAAACTTGGAATAATGATAACGTGATGCTACGAAGCCAGAGATGTTTGCAGTTACCCTGCTCATTCAGGAAATATAATCGATCTCAATTTAGTCGGTTCCAAATGAAAGTGAAAATGTATTTTCAGCCATTAAGAAAATAATGTTGACTGTTTTTCAAGTTCTTCATGAGTGTAGAAAATACAATTGAGAAAATTCTGTGAAAGCATCCTTTTTGTTCCGACTTTCGATAAAAGCTGGAATTAACCCTTTTTAGTTAATCGTTTTTAACAGATTTTTTTAAACAGAGGTGAAGTTGAGCTTCGTGCCACCTACCTCAAAATACAAAAAAAGCCAGGTAGCTAGCCGAAAGAAAATAGGGCGAAAGCCACTGAGTCGAAAAACAATTTAAAAAAAAATTTAAAATGAAAACAATGATGCCTGGTTGCTGTGCAAATAGGACAGAATGTATCGGTTGTGTGATAAAAAAAGATCTGAAGAAAACGTAGAAATTAGGAATATTCGACAGTCACAGAAAAATAGGCAAATTGGGCAACCGTTTTAGGTCGGAAAACGACAAGAAAAAGTTTTTTCAACTTTGCAGAAAATTTGCAAACATATCGCTAAAAAAACTTCAAAAATTAACATTTCTGGAGCTAAACTAAATTTTATTGGCCTATCCTTCTAAAAAAAAGCCTGCTCGCTTGCTTTGTTTGCTCGAAAATGACTAAAATTCAAACCGGTTTTCTCGACACGGGGATGTCGGTTAGCCCTGAAAGGGCTTTATAATTATATATTACTCCAACCATATATAATATCATTCAGCGCAATCCGATGATTTTATGACTTTTGTGTTACCTGATCTCGCATGTTAAAAAATTTATAATAAACTACAAGGGTAGCCGGTTGCTGTGCAAGTAGTACACAAATTGCCGACCAAATTTTCAGAAGAAAAAGTTGCCTTCAAGTTGATGGTTTTTTTTGTACGACGTGTGATGATACAACTATACGAACGCGTAGAAATTTAGTTAATTAGGCATAAACGACTCTTATTGTCTTGAAAAAATTAAATTACACAGAGGCGAAGCTGAGCTTCGCACCACTTGCGATACAAAACAAGAAAGCCGCCAACATCTATTAAGCTCAAAAAAGAAAATAAGAAAAAAATAATTAAAAAAAAATTTATGACAATCAGAAGTTTTTGAGCCCCCTCGCCACCAAACAACATACACCAACACACAATTTTTTTTGCTCGTCAATGGACGCAATATGAGGCCGATAAGTTGATATTAGATTGGCCGAAACCTATCAAGCCTAAAGAAAAGAGAAAAAAAGCGATAAAAAATCGTTGTCATGAAAAGTTTGAATTATATTTCTATTAAGATGTTTAGCGTTTTGAGCAATTCAGAGGTATGTATAAAAAATGTTTCCCTTAAAACGACTCGAAATTAGGTCACTAAGTTGATAATTATAGGTCGAAATTTTTTGTGCAGAAAAAAGTTTTTAATCGAAAAAAACCAAAAAAAGAAGTATGTACGATGTCAAGATTAAAATAATTCAAAAAAAATCAAATAAGCGATTTTGTTGGGTGGCAAAAATAAAGCGGAAACTAGGCCTACGTAAAGTAAACCGAAAGCGACGGTGTCGAAAATTCAAAAAATCCCAAGAAGTTTTTTTTTTAAAAATTCGAACTGCGAATTTTTCAGAAAAACTAACGAGGATGCGCAGTGAGAGTAATAGTCCAATGAGCGCGAATATACGCACATACGGCATGCATGTCGTGTAATGCATGAAGGCTGAAATCTGTGGATAAAGTTGCATACGGGAAAAAAGTTTAGTTCACGATTGCAATACTCTTGCTATCGCAAGGGAAAAAGGAAAAAATTTTTCAATTTTTTTGATTTTTTTTTCAATTTTCTGCACTAAGTATTTTAATTAAGTTCGGAAGTGTTTTTTACAATTTTCTGCTCTAAAAATTTTAATTAAGTTTTAACGTATTTTTTGCCTGAGGAGAGCTAAATTGAACTTTCAAAACTAGTATTCTTTGTTATAAAGTCAAGTTTTTTTAAGCCTAAATAGCTAATTTTCATATATAACAAACCTTACTCGATCGCTTTACTTGCTCAAAAATGGGCGAAAATCAAAAATTTTAAACCCAACACTAAGAATTTTTTTGGCATTTTTAATTGTCGTTCGCATCGCGACTAAAAGGTCTTCAATTTTATATATCACTCGACATTGTCCAATGATTATTTGTGGTACCTGATTTTGCAAGGAAAACAAAAAAATGAAAAAGAGAAAAATTAAAACACACCCGAATACAAAGTTCCTCCCCATTTTCAATGGTCGGAACAAAAATACTCCCGAATACAAAATTCTTTCCCATTTTCAATGATCGGAACAAAAAAAAGGGCGAATGATTTTTTATCTTCGCCTCGCATGCCAATTTAAGGAGACGATGCCAAAATCCTTAATTGCCGATGTTGAAAAAAAATTTAAATAAAATTTATTCAGTGGTAAGTAATCAGACCAGTGGATAGACAACTGTTGAACCAGAAATTTTTGCGCTATGAAAATTTTTGCAATTCGCCAGCTTTAATCCCCCACAAGGAAGCGCACATAAATAAGCTATCATGTGATCCTTCGGATGGCGAGTTATGAGCAAATAAGATATAGCATAAGCCGAAATTATTTAAGTCCATGATACTTGAGCGGATAAAATGTAAAATTTTAAAAAAAAATCAAGAAAGACATAATTCAGTGACAGTTAAAAATTGGCAGATAAGATCAAAAAAATTTTGTTGACTAGACATTCCATAAGGGCATATTTTGTTGCAGCTGGCCCTAATGATTAAAGTGATTTTGTTAAAACTCTATTTTTTATTTCATTACGCTTGCTAATCGCAAGCTTAAAAACATCTGAAAGGTATTGATATCCTGATATTTTACCTGCGATTGTTTTATGAGCGTTTTTAAGGAACTATCTATGGTTTTAAAAGCGTAGGCGCGAATCATCACGCACTGAAAATCATTTGATAATGATTTGAGGTCAAGCTAATGGGTCATATTAAGTTCCTCTTCGACTCAAATTTACAGCACTTACTCTTATAATTTGGCTGTTGGGAAGGATAAGCAAATAAAGTACAAAATTTATGGCCAAAATATATCCGAGAGCGTTTGGCATATTCAGGGCTTTATTGCCCTGATATACGAGCGGTCTTCATAATAAATGATGACTTGAACTTAATAATATTTTGCACCAGTATGTAGATGAAAATGAAAATCCGGCTTTCCTACGATTCGAAACTGAGACTTGTGTCGTGTTAACTAGGTGAAGCTGGTGATCTGGTGCAGTAGTGAGTGGAATCTTCTCGATGTGACCTACCTCAGTATGGGTATCGTGGCGTTCTTCTGCTCTGTGACTGAGGGATGGCCCATGACCATAGCCAGAGCGCTTTATGGTGTCACTTCGATTCTTATGTGGATCAGACTGCTCCGGTTTTATCTGGCTAGCGAGAAGCTCGGAAGCATGTGGATCATGATAAGAAGGATGCTGTGGGAGACGATGATCTTCATGACTCACATGGGCATTATGATCATAGCTTCGGGCATTTCACTGTACTGTATCAATAACAAGTTAGTTGTCTATACTAATCAGAGTTGTCTTTTTTTACTATTTTGCAACCGAACCTCGGTAATTTTAATCAAAATTGAATAATATAGAGGATGAGTTTTTCTCGCTTTGTATTGGAGGGTTGAGAAATTTAGGTCGATCTCTTGGATTAGATTGATCATATTTGCAACTGAGTTATGTAACATTCGCCGAGTATGTTCGCCTCAGTTTTTGTCAAAAAATTCTTTGAGAATGATGATTACATGATTGTAGGCTATTCATGAGAGACACTGACCTTGAAGACTAGTTTCAGTCACAACCAAAGCGGTGATGCGAACAACCCTGGCTTGAATTCTTCTGTCTATTTTAACGCAGCATTCGCTTTTGCGTGATTCATATCCTCTTTTGACGCCAAAAAGTTTCAAGAGTCGAGGAGAGAACTTATTCAGAAGTTACAATCTTTTTGTCAGCACCTCCAAAACGAGACTAAAAACGGTATCGATGGCATGTTTCTCAGAAAGTTTGTGTGATCCATTAATTTGGTGCTCATAGTTAAATATCTTTTAAAGTTTTAAGGAGATATCGCACTAAGTTTTTGAGAAGATATTGAAAATACCCCTTTACTAAAATCCGAGATCTGCCCTGGTTTCGTTATTCTTTATCTTCAATTTGTATCTGAAGGAGCATTTGTTCTCTTTTTGAGGTCGGTTAGACATGGTTGGGATGTTGAACAAGTTGACAGACGTCACTTCAAGGAATTGACGTCACTTCAGAATGGGAGGTAGTCAATGAGCGTCCCATAGGAATAAAAACCACTTTTTGGACCTAGTATCACTTAATAGTAACTTCACAACACCAGTGATTAGCAACTTCAGAAATGAGGTCTTATACCGTCCCAACAAATCCCTGATGATTACAGACTTCAGGATATTTGTTATCTTCCTAAATTGATCATTTCCTCTGATATATTGCCAGACTTGGCCAGGAAGTTAGATACGTCATTAAATCGTTTTCTTTCTTCAGAAATAACTAAATTAGTGCATTTTTTGTTGGAAACAAATCAAAATAAACGAGTCCATAAAAGTAAGAATACTCATAAGGAAAACTTCATTCTTCTGTGTGAACATGATTTTTTTATTTTCACACATACTATAGGTAACTTTACATTAATTATGAAAAATCAAATCAGGAAGGTTCCCATTTATAAACTAAGATATTAGTTAAAGAAGGTTTTCTTTTAATAATTTTACAAGAGTGTCGAAAATCAGTTTGCGTGACGTAATTTGGCGCTGACGTGATGTGAGGTATGGCTAAAATCACATAATCAATGTGTTCTCCTTTGTGTTTAGAGACCCCGAGGACTTCTTCCACATGGACACGAGTGACCCCAGTCTGAGCGAGGAGGAGGTCAACCGCATAAACGTCTGCCAGTCAAAGTACAGACAGTGAGTACTTATTAAATGTTATTCTTACTGCTCTCAGTTTCCTTTAATTGTTCATGGGAGTGCTTGATTCCTAATAATAATGACCTAATAACAATTGGTCTTCGAAAAGACAAAAATTGCAAAAAGGTTTACTTTTTGCTGAAACATCTGGATAAGAAGTCAATTCCATTTAGTAGATACAAAAAATGAATATCTTTATCACAATGTCAATGTTTTACTTCTACATGTTATACCTATTTCGCATTGTATCCATGTGCGTATCTTGCAACGTAGCTGTCAGTTTGTAGTGTTTCGAATTTACCGACCACCACACCCTCACCCCATCTATAATTTAGGCACCGCCTTTTTATCGTTTCACAGTTAGGATCCTAACTATACACCCCCAATAATAAAACACCAGAGAGTAATGCTCACAGATTTTTCCAGGTTAAGCATACGAGCTGATCTTTTCATTACTTAGAATCACTGGTGGTCCGCTTTTTTTTTCGATAAATGAATCCTATTTTTTTTGTTGCTGTAATTTTGTCTTTTTCTCGACTTATGTTTTTATTTTTATGTTGTATCCCAAGTAGTTCAAAGCTTCGTTTCGCCTCTGTGTAAAATTTTATTTTATTGGGTTAGTTATAAAGAAACAGTTTCGTTCAGGAACGAATATTGAAATTCAAAGTGCTATATCAAGAATAAATTATAAAAACGTAGCGATTTCTGGTTCTCATATGTAACTTGTATACGGCGGCCTGTTGGCTATGTTTTTAATTTTCGGTCAAAGTTGCGCTTATTTTATAGTTATAGCAATTTTTTTTTCATTGACTGATTTTCTTCGCTTGTTGTTATGATTTTCGAAAACACGGAATACTTATGCTTTGTGTGTTTTTTATTCAGTCAATGTTTGGCGATCGAAATAATAGTTTTACCGTAAAATTTTTATACCCCAAAAAATTTTAAAATATATTTTACCTCCGATCATTTTTTGCGAGGTTGTAGGAGCTTAAAAATTGCCAATTTGGCCATGCTCTGGACTAATTAATGCGCGCTTTGAAAATTTTATTCATAATTATGAAAGCGTAACGCGAATTATTTATGCGTGGTGAATAGTCCCACACAACAAAAAAAGTTCCAAATTAAATTGAGGCTAGCTAAATGGTCGTATTATTATCGTGCGATTCATTTTTTTACACTTAATTTTTGGTATTGCCAAAATTTTATAGTTTTTCGTTATTTTCTTTATCCCAAAACTATTCGGGGGCAGTCGGAACATTCATGGCTGTGCCCTGATATGCGACCAATCTTGTTTTACACAAGCCAAGCTTGCAGATCTTGTGCTTTTTCACGAGCACGCTTTGATCAAGCAAAGAAGCATAGCTTTGTGCAAAGTTGTCTCTATGCTGCGTTGGTTAAACAGTATGAGCTACATCCGTTAAGTTCAATTGCATTCATCATTACCCGGTACTTACTACCAAGGCATGCTTTTAAATTTAGATATATTAGTAGCAAAGCTTCAGTTAGAAAATTATTCTCGTTCCGGAGGCTCTTGATGCAATTTTAATAGGTAAACTCTACAGTTGCTAGTAGATTTTACCGTCTCAGACTTTTCAAGACAAGCCGTTGTAATTTTGAAATTTCAGAGCTCATTTTGCCGTTGTTCGCGGAGTACAGCTTCCTCTATGATCAAGGCAGCGTTTGATTGCTTGCACAAAAATTATCTGCGGTTTTTTTGATATGGTTATTTCCGTAAAAACGTTTTTGCCCGGATAATTTTTTTCAATACAAATTTGCTTTTTTTTCTGCTGAGCTCGTGCCCATGATGTTAAAATTTTTAGTTTTCTTGGTTGCCTTTTAGTTTCCTTTAGCGGTAAAAATTATGTTTAGCGTATTGTATTTTTTCACTGATTGATTCGTCAATTTTTTTTACACCTTTTAGACATATGTTTCGGTTTTGATTTCTTTTGTTGTTTTTATAGATGATATTTATTTGACGTGCTTGCGAATGTAGTACGCTGGAGCGCAACGGAGCTTCAAATTAATTGAGATAGTACAAAAAATTATGGCAGCTAGCCGAAATAAAATAAGCCGAAAGCCACTGAATACAAAATAAACAAGACTGCTCGTATCAGGGCGAAGCCCTGAAAGTTCAGACTGCCTTTTACCGTTTATGGAGCAGTAATAACATAAACAACATTAAAAAATTAAATGAAATAAAATAAATGAAAAAGTTTTTTTTTTCTAAAATTTGAAAATTTTTCGATGAAAATCATCCCCCGCACGCCATATAAAGTACAAAACAATAGATTTCGCTCCTTGTAACAAATCAATTATGGCAAATAGGCTTCTTTCAACCAATGTGGAACGATTTCTAAGACGGATTAAATCTCCGCTTACGCGTTAATGGCGCGAATTATATCGCGCGTTAATTGTCCCAAGTTGGTCAAAATGGCCAAAATGGCAATCTTTGAACCCTAATAACTTTACGATAAATGATCACAGGTGAAATATCTTTTCAAATTTAGGCTCAGGACAACAATAGCTTTCGAATGATATAAAAAAATTCCATCAAAAATGGCTAGTTAAAAAGTCGAAATTTGTCTGAAGAAAAAAAAACCCACCCCGAGCACAAATATTCCGTTACTTTCGTATCGAAAGTCGGAACAATAACAAAATCAACCAAAAGTTATATACATTTGTCTCGAGTGAAATTCAATTTGAGGAAAACATGCAGAGAAAAAAAAGCTAGCTTTACATCATTATTCAGTTTATATTTATCAAACAGTAAAATAACAGACAATAGTTCAAGTCGAAAACGCCCTTCAAGTAGAAAAAATCTGGTCTAAAAAGTTTCGAACTCTAAAAATTTTTAAAGCTCCCATTTTTTTCGCTCCATTTAAAATTAGGGTCCCATAAGAACATTGTTTTGTGCTCAAAATTTGTCCTCACTTTTTATTAAGCAAGAAGTTTCCAATGCGCAAAAAATAAAGTTCCTGCCCGCACTCGAGCGCCATTAATGGCAATCTTTGAACCCTAATAACTTTACGAAAAATGATCACAGGTGAAATATCTTTTCAAATTTAGGCTCAGGACAACAATAGCTTTCGAATGATATAAAAAAATTCCATCAAAAATGGCTAGTTAAAAAGTCTAAATTTGTCTGAAGAAAAAAAAACCCACCCCGAGCACAAATATTCCGTTACTTTCGTATCGAAAGTCGGAACAATAACAAAATCAACCAAAAGTTATATACATTTGTCTCGAGTGAAATTCAATTTGAGGAAAACATGCAGAGAAAAAAAAAGCTAGCTTTACATCATTATTCAGTTTATATTTATCAAACAGTAAAATAACAGACAATAGTTCAAGTCGAAAACGCCCTTCAAGTAGAAAAAATCTGGTCTAAAAAGTTTCGAACTCTAAAAATTTTTAAAGCTCCCATTTTTTTCGCTCCATTTAAAATTAGGGTCCCATAAGAACATTGTTTTGTGCTCAAAATTTGTCCTCACTTTTTATTAAGCAAGAAGTTTCCAATGCGCAAAAAATAAAGTTCCTGCCCGCACTCGAGCGCCTGGCACTCGAGTTTCCAATGCGCAAAAAATAAAGTTCCTGCCCGCACTCGAGCGCCATTAAAATGATTCAATATTTTTGATTTGGCTTTTTTTCTGTTTACTTTGAATTCTAGAAGAATTTTGACCAAATTTATAGGCAGTGTTTTGTATGATAAATCTGTTTATCCTGGAAATAGCTATTTGTCTTTGCCAAGTTTTGTCATTAATTTTTCCTTTTTTCAATTACGGACTTACCAGTTCCTGATAGTTTTTTTGCTACACTTCTGTTATTGTACCGACTTTCAAAGAACGCATGAAATATTTGTGCTTGGTGTGGTTTTTTCGGCACACCAGTCACCTTGAATTTTTTTTATAGCATTTGAATCGTATAGACGCTCTGAGCTCAAATTTTTTAAAAATTATGTTTAATTTTTTTTTGTTAAATCGATTATGGCGGTTCAAACATTGCCAATTTGGCTAACTTGTATGAAAATTTTTTTTTATATGTTTTTTTTTTCCCAATTTTTATCAGAGGTCTTCAAAATGATGCTTAATCCTTGGACTGCAAGGGCGGCCTAAACCTTCGGGGATTTGCCCTGATACGAGTTTTGTTGTTCCGACTTTCGAAGAGAGGCTGAAACACGGTTTTTTTCTTCAGACAAATTTCGACTTTTAACTGGGGATTTGAATGGAGTTTTTTATACTATCTGGAAGGTATTGACGTCCTGAGCCATTTTTGACTCGATTTGATGTTTGAATTTTTGCGTGTAGTATGTTTACTTGCATGAAAAAACATCCTTTAATGGAAATATCCCCAAGTAAAACCACTTAATTTGAGTCCCGCTTCTATTGTTTTTTTCTTATTTAACATTCTTAAATATGACTCCAGGTAAAGATTCATCTATTTGGTATCTTATTTACAGACTGATGTTGTACCGTGAGGCGGAGTGGCTGTTCCTGCAACCGTACTTCATGTTCAACGGAGAACTATTCCTCATCCCCCTCAAGTGTGGAGAACATGGCACCATAGCGTGGATCATGGCCGCCCTGTTCCTGCTGCTAGGCAACGCCCTTATGCTCAACCTGTTGGTGGCTATCTATGCGGCCATCTTCAACGACGTGCAGAAGAACTCGGAGAGGGAGTGGAAGATGGAGATGTACTGGCTGCTGAAGGACTTCGAGGCCAAGACTATTTTGCCACCTCCACTGTCTCTAGTCGAAACTGTGATCCAGATTGTTCGCATACTGTACTCCAGGAGGTAAAAAATCAAACGAGACTAAAATAAAACAACGTTATGCAAATGAAGTTTGAAAAAAAAATTGCCAAAATCACTCAAAATTTATAGTTTGATCAAAAACATTTTCGGAATATCTGTTGTAAAAGACTGCTACATATTTATTCCTCCGAAAAGAAAAATCGTTTTTTTTGGAATAATTTTTGCTCATGAACCATATTAACCGACCGACAAAACTATACAAAATTTCATAAATTTACATGGAAACTGCTTATTTGTTTTGCGATTTTCTAGGTGCAAGAAGAAGAAAAGCCGATCAGAGGAACAGCTCAAAAACCAAGATATGGTTCAAGAAAATGGCTCAGATAACAATCTCGACGACAATGTGTCGGAAGGCGACGACGGAACAGGAGTTCCTCTGAGGACTATCGAGCGCCTGCAGATATTCGAGTCCTATTGTGTCGGCAAAGCACTGCGCAAGATCGGGTTGCAGCGGAGCTGCTACGAGAGCGTTGCCGACATGATCCAAGACACTGAAACTCAGCTGGGTAAGGTGCAGGACTGCCGGACTATGGTGAACAATGTCCGCCGCATGATCCAGACTCAAAAGTCAAGGCGGAAGGAGAGAAGACGACAACACAATTTGAATAATGAGACCACGAAACCGAATGAGTAGATTAGATATACCAATTTATGCGATTCGATTGTGCAATCAATTATGTAGAAGGGTCAGCTGAGATTTGATGTGCAAATATCAATTTTTGTTTTATGCGAAGTTTTTTGTAAAATTATTTGTATAATTAATATGGAATTGTGTGAATCGACTTTATTTCCTCGAAATTTTATAGAACCAATTGTTTGCTAAATTTGTTCAATTTTATTTCTTCTATGGTAATTCATTTAAGCTGATACCTTTCTTTTATATCAGCTCTATGACTTAAAGGCAGCTTACATATACAAAAATCGACTTTCCGCTCGGTCACTAAACCCAACGCCAAACACTCTAGGGACGCAAAATTTGAGCAATTTTTACACAGAGGCGAAGCTCCGCTTCACAAAAACTAGCAAGAAAACGACAAAAAGCAGCTCTATAAAGTGTAATAAGAACAAGTTGAAATAAGTTCGGCAATGTCTTTGATTCGATCTGCGACCTAGAGATTATGAGACTCACGCACTAACCACTCAGCCCTGGACGCTTAATATTTTACAAACACTAGCCACAAAAAAGCAGAGAACAGATGCTATGAAATTTCCAATGCTACAGATCGTGATTATTACACAAGCGCAGCGTAATGTTTCATTACGAAGTTTTTTTTTCTAAACTAAGTCGCAAATAAAGCGCTCATTTGGTGGCACTTTGGGCATATTTCAAATTAATCATACTTAAGCCTATTTAAACATAGGCAATTTAATAGCATATGTTGTTGCTTTATTTTTTTAAACTATTCTTAGGTCCTGTTTGAAGGAAAGGGTATCATGAAAATGCATGGGATTTGTTGTTTTGATGTATTTTTGCGACGCTTTCGAAAATTTTTCCACTAGCAAAAATTTCAATTTTTCTCAAAACTACTAGTGTGGTTCAAAAAATGATGCGAACGAACAAAATGGCTGCTCTGCTTATCTATATGCCTGTATAATTAGCTAGTATCTTTTCATTTTACCCCACGTTCTACGGCCTTCGCAAGTTTCAGTAGAAGCATTTCTGACCTGTTTATCTTGAAACTTTTCACTATCTCAAATATTGAATGCCTAAATCTGAGCTGAAGTTTAAAATCACAGAACAAGTTATGGGGATTTCTCTTATCAAGCGTTGTTCCCTAAGCTCGGTAGAAAAAGTTTGGCCTCAAACAAGTCAATTTTTTGACATTTTGGTTAGTTTTGAAAACTTTGTCAAAGAATACCCTGCCAAGTCGGAGATTGAGGGATTGTAGAGAAAAAGAGCTGAGTAGTCGAGGAAGAGGAAAAGGGGAATTCAAATGGATTAAGGAAAAGCCAAATAGATTTAGGAAAAATCAAAAACTTTGGGAAAAGTCAAAGTTAATAGTTTCAGGAAAAGTCTAAAAGTTTGGTTTTTTGTTCGTTTTTGGATTTTTTTCACTTTTTCGGAAACTGCCCAGCCGAAACTGAGATGAAGAGTTTAAATGAAAGCGATTTGTAATTTTTTCTTTCAACTAAGCAGGCAAAAATAAAGATCGATAACGAAATGATTGTTCCCGTTGCTGCTTGGTTAACTCGGCTTGCAAGCGGGTAGATTTATGGGGTTTTACCCGTCAGCAAATAGTGAATACAATCAAGAAAACAATTGGAATTTGGGTGGGAACACTCAGGGGTGATTGGTTCGTGTGTTATTAAATGTATGGTGGGGCTGTCCTCTGTTGGTAACGGATTGCTGCCCATATTGAGGTTGAGTTTTCGGCACATATTTTTCTTGGTGCTAAAACTAAGGTGCCTGATCGATCCGTCGTCGATCATGATCGGACGGAGAACTCGGCAACCGCTGCAAGCACCGCTGACGGCGCGACCGTGGGTTCGTAGCTACGTGAAGTAAAGTATCGATGATGCAATTCGCTTGAGACGTACCGAATCACCCTGGTGCTCTAATTCATTTTCGTGCAAATCTTGCAGGGTGGAGGCAGCGGTTACGTCCTGTAACGCTGCCTTCCCGAAACGATAGTGTGTTTGATTACAAAGGGAAAAGGATAAGGCCTTGCAGCGGAATGCATAACTATTTTTTCGGGGTAAACCACGGAGCTTGGCTTTGCGGGCGGTAGATCTGGCCTCAATAAATACTACAATTTTTGGGTAATCGGAATATTTCATCCTAAAGTAATGTCGGTTTGCACACAATATTAAAACTTAAAATTCAAATACGTGCTGTTAAAGTGGTTATTCGATAAAAGAAGTAGATAGGTAAACAATGAGTTACGCTTAAAATAGATGAAGTTCGTCAGAAAATGTCACCCCTATGCCAGAAATTAAAATTTGACAATATCAGCAAACCCCCCCCCCCCCAAATCGGAACTAAGGAAGATAATATTATGAAAATCAGAGGCGCGATACTAGAGATGATTTGACTCAAGTATACGAAAAACGGGACCCCTCAGACCTTTGGGGGGCAAGTGATAACGGTCCCCGGAAGTGTAAATGGGGACCGAAAACTAATGGTCTACACTTCCGGGGACCGTTATCACTTGCCCCCCAAAGGTCTGAGGGGTCCCGTTTTTCGTATGGTTGGGTCAAATCATCTATCAGAACTCGACAACTAACGGCGGTAATGGGTTTAAATGTTAGTATGTTGTAAGCCTAGTTGAGGTAAGCTTAAGTATTGAACCCCAGACACCTAGGACCCCCACGTCCGTTTTTGCCCAAAGTAAACAGACTCATCCTAACTTCCAGAAGTCATTTCTGGGCTCCAATGAGCGTAGGGAGCTGAAACTTGGAAGGATGATAGGTAATGGCAAGATACATCTTGTGTTATAAATTGAACCTTTTTCAGCGGGTGCTGATAGCACTTGATAAAAAAACGCCCCCTTAGGCCGGAAATAGGCAATTTATGCAAATTAATAGACAGAGGCACAATGATTTTATTGCGGCAATCGACATAAGATACGAACCCCGAAAAAAGACCCCTGTGAGTGAAGACCCTCCGGCGACTCCTTCCGGTGTTATTAGCCTTTTTGCGGACTCCTCGGTGACTTGCAATCAAGCTTAGAAATTTCAGATCCTTTCGCTTCGATTAGACTGATAGATTATTACGTGACCAATCAGAGCCTTTTGTAATAAGACGTATATTCATTTGAAAAAATTACTATTGGAGATCATTAAATTGTATTGACAAGACAGCCTAAAAGCAATACACAGAAGAATCAACAGAGAGCAGTATAGAATAGTTGCCACCAAGTTAACCCTTTCGGGATTGTAGATAGTAGTGAATCTCGGTCACCCCGCTGAAATCACTGCTCCTTTGAGAAGAAATCCCCTAAATCTACAGTCTACATGAAAATTATTTTTCTTTGTGTCTCAATTATAACTCAATCAATCAAAAAGTTATGTTTTGCTATAAAGCCTACATTGAGAATCTGTTTTGAGTACAAACAACCTTGTCTAAATGTATGCGCTATAATGTTAATTGATTTTTACAAAATTTGTTTTTTTTTCACATTATTTGTTACCTTTTATTTACACAAGCAAAGCTTGTGTTATAGTTTGAATTCTCGTTTTTGTCAATCTAAGTCGCAAAAAGTGTTGCGGATAAACTGTGTTCATTTTGAAAGAGTTCAATTTGATCAATAAACAGCTATTACGTACAGCCACTGCTAAGGATATTAACACAGACTATTATGTTACAAATAGCACTTTAGCTTCAAGGTATCATGGATCTGTGTAGTCTAGAGGTAAGGAGACCCGCAACAAAATAAGAGGGTTCGAACCTGGGCAGGGTCGGATGATTTTAATGAATTTTTTGGTTTACTAGTTAAAATGCGTCCGCTCTATAAATTGAGGCATGTTAGTTGGTAAATTTCAATTTTTTCAATTTGACTGGTACTGCGTTGCAAAGCAGTTATGTAGACTCAAAATTGGCGAGCGTCACTTGGGAAATTTTGTAGACTCAAAGTTTTTCTCATTCAGTTTTCACAGTAGCGTTATGAATCGTATTTTTGCTTGTTTATGCGAAGTGCAAGTTCGCTTCTGTTTAAAATTTTGTTTTGGCGTTTGAGGGCATGATCAGTGCAGTTTGTGTTAAGTTAAATTGCAATCAAACGATTTTGGGATACAAGGAATGATTGCTTTAATACTTACTGAACGTGATTGCGTATTGAAAATGTAGAGAAAAACTAAGAAAAACAAAACCAGTGCTGATGCTTGAGTTAACTTTTGACAGCATTGGTTAACTTTTGAGGCCATGTTTCTGTACATTATTAAAAATGAAAATGACGACAACCTTTTTTTAAAAACAATGACTTCTCTCAGCAATGAGAAATATAATTAGCCTTCTGTTAGTATCTAATGGAAAAGGCTATTGCGGATAATAGTTATTTTGCAAAAACTATGGAACAACACAAAGCAACAAAAAACAATATTGTTCACATGAAACAAAAAAAAACATTGATTGCAGTGATTATTAAGGAGCTGTGAAGCAATAAAAAATACCATGTAACAAAATCTACCTCAAAATGTTGTTTTTAACTCAGCGAGTGAAAATCCGTCTAAAATTTTTCATTTTCTGATGCTAAATTCTGATCATTCTTCAGTTTTCCTGCTTACCCATTGGTTTCTCGCTCAACCCAAGTACCCAAGCTAGAGTACAACTTCAGAATGAGTCCTAGGTTGGCTAAGCTAGAGTACAACTTCAGAATGAGTCCTAGGTTGGCTAGGGTGAAAACAGAGTAATGCAGAAAGAGCAAATTGTAGAGAAAAAGAGCTGAGTAGTCGAGGAAGAGGAAAAGGGGAATTCAATTGGATTTAGGAAAAGCCAAATAGATTAAGGAAAAGCCAAAAACTTTGGGAGAAGTCAAAATTAATGGCTTCAGGAAAAGTCTAAAAGTTTGATTTTTTGATCGTTTTTCGATTTTTTTCACTTTTTTTGAAAACTACCCAGCCGAAACTGAGATGAAGAGTTCAAATGAAAGCGATTTGTAATTTTTTTCTTCAACTAAGCAGCTGATCTCCTAATTAAGCTGAGAAATTTTCAAGGTTTGGCGTTGAGTCCATTTTTCTGAAATATTGAAATTTACGCAATTCTGTATCAATACAATATAGAATTAATTTTTTTTTAAAATGTACATCCAGTATTAACGGGGCCAATAGCTTACTTCCAAGTGACTCTGGCGCATATGCATGGACGTGAGTCACACTACTAATCAAAGCAGCTGGGCGAGTACATGTAGGTCGGTTTCAAC